TTTGGGTATACTTTTTTCGTTGGTATAATTTTAAGATCTACACATGTATTTTAAGCTTTTTGCGTGGTGTTGTAATGCGGACAGTGGAAACTCTAAGTTTTGATTTTTCTGTTTTGTTACGAGTCGGGGTTTCACTATCCCTCCTCATCTCTGTACCTTTTTTTAACTTTTAACGCGTAAATATATTATTTATTTATTTATTTATTTATATATAAAAGTTTGGGCTTTCATGTTTAGGCTAGTAGGGTTCAAAAATAATTTCAGAATGAGAATTTCAAAAATTTTCAATCTCACTATTGAATTTGCATGTGTCTTTTAGCTAACAAAAGACGATTCTTTTTAAGCCCAATAATGAAGTTATGTAAATGCGAAATTATAATAATTTCTATGAATGTCAAAATTCAAATAATTTCGAGGCATACAAATTTCAATAATATTTTCCAAGTAAAATGTAACTCTTGGAGTTTTGTGAGAATATTTTAAAACTTGTATGAGTAGAAATTTTTTATTTTCAAGTTGTGCATGTTTCAGGACATTTACATAAATAAGCCACCCATGCTTGATTTCAGATTTGTGCATCTACCTATTTGAAACAAACTATCTATCAATTTCATATTTTAGAGATTATCCAATTCATTTAAATCCTACAAGTTTCTCAAAACTATACAAACATATAAAATCCTACCCATAGGTGCTCCACCAAAATAAACTAAATATTTAAAATTGAATGGTTTGAGAATGTTTCGTGGGTCGAAGTAAACTTGTACTCAGTAGTTTTTGTTCTAATATTCGTGCAAAATTATTTTAAGAAAAACTTTGATTTTTCTATAGTTAAAACTCCTATTTTGAAATTAAATTCAAGACAAGTTATGCAAGTTTTCAATTGGGGTTACCTATATAGAGAACAGAGTTGTAAGTCATACCCAACTAGTTTGATCCTCCTCGTAGGGATTGGAGTTAACGAGTCTAATAATTTCAAACTATATGTCCAAATTTTGAAATAAGAATTTATAAGCTCAAATCACCCAGTTTGATCATACTTCTTATAAGGATATGAGTTGACGGAACTTACATATTAAAAAAAAAAAGCCTAAACTAATAAAATCAAATGCTCTTTAAATATAAAAGTTTTAAATGTTTAAATCCCTGATGAAGGCAATATTGATTGTGAATCTCAATCATTGGTGTCAATTTTTAAAAACAACAACAACAACAACAAAGCCTTAATCCCACTACGTGGAGTCGACTACATGAATCCTTTTTCTCTATTGCGTCCTATTTAGTGTCATATTTTCATTTAGTTCTAATAAATGAAGATCATGTTGCCTACAATAAGCCTAAGTCTTCCTAGGTCTACCTCTGTCTTTCTTTACATAAGTCGAATTTAAAACATCTACTCTCTTAATCTGATCATCCGATGGTCAATGATTAACGTGGCCAAACCATCTAAGACGACTCTCTCTAATTTCGCCTGTCACTGGAGCTACACCAACTCTATCATGGATATATTCATTTCGCATTTTGTCTCTAAGTGTAAAGCCACTCATCCACCTAGGCATTCTCATCTCAGCAACTCCTAACTTAGTATTATGCTTCTCTTTTAAAGGCCAACATTCAACGTCATATAGGATTGCAGGTCTCACCACTATCTTATAAAATTTTCTTTTCAGTCTAAGCACTACGTTTCTATCACGCAAATAACCCGAAGCATTCTTCCACTTCAACAAACCAACTTGAATTCTACTATTAACATCCCTATCTATATCACCATTACTTTGAACAACAGACCTGAGATATCTAAATTGTTCGCATCTTTTAATAATTTGATCACCTAAAGTTACACTTCTATCATTAGAGTTACTACTACTAAAATTACATTTCATGTATTCAATTTTAGTTCTACTCAAATGAAGGCCTTTAGACTCCAATGTAGACCTCCATAATTCAAGTTTTCCTAGGCTTTTTCTCTAGTCTTATCCACGAGAAGGATATCATCGACAAAAAGCATACACGAAGGTACATCCTCTTGTAAATGTCCAGTAAGACCATCCATAACTAAATCAAAAAATATGGGCTTAAAGTCGATCCCTGATGTAATCCAACAGAAATAAAAAAAATATTTGTTCAATCCTCCTTCAGTTCGAACACTAGTAACAACTCTAGTATACATGTTTTTATTGACTTAAATAACCAAAATATTCAAGTAAAATTAATCACAAATCACATCCACCTTCCACAACAGTATGTTAAGTGATAAATTTTTTGTCGATTTCAGCTCACAAAGAGTGAATGGTATATCAAATATATCTTTATGTCACAAATAAAGAAATTAGATGCCAATAAGGACGTGACCTAAGTCTTTTGTTTGCGTGGTTATATCAACAAAAGGCACCACAAAGTAGCATTTTTTATTAGTCCTTTAACCGGGTGTTACCGTCAAATGACACTATTAAATTCCGGTCATGGTCGTAACTCATGTGTTTCCCAAAAACTTTCTATCCTTTGAGTTGGGAACCATAGTGGAACAATTGATTAACAGAAAGTCTTTTGTCCGCTGTTGTCGACTTAAGTTTGTTCCCTCAGATAAATATCCACCACAAACCTACAAGGATCCCTTGGACGACACAACTCATGATTACTGATAAAGATCTTTGAGTCAAGTTAGGTCGACTATTTTCTCTGACTAAGTAGATCGGAGATCAATTGCTACTTTAGGGAACCATAACGAACTGAAGCGGGAACAACTCTATGATTTGCTAAACTGTTTGAACGGAGCGTTTTGGTTGAGCGGAGAAAAAACAAATAGAAAGGAGTGTTCTGTTCGAGTGAAAGAGCCGGACGACGAGCACCATAATCCCATTTGTGAGGTGATGAAGCAACGAGCTCTAGCAGAAGATCCATACAATGAGTTGGAGATGGAGTTACCTTGAGCTACATGAGGAAGAGTGGGACGATGAGTCCAAGATGAAGTAGTGCCCTCAAGCTTACGTACACTAGGGACACTTCGACACATTGTTCCTCAACTATTTTAAAGGAGGTATAGACGACGCAAATTGAAGAATAGGGCTATGGCCTCGAACTCTAACGAAGTAGGATAAGGAAGCTTGGTTCGTAGCTTCGCTGAAGACACGGAGGATACCTCAACACTTTTGACCTCCAGCTACTTAACAGCCGGACGACGAGTCAGAGACAAACTAGTGACCTAAAGCTTATGAGAGATGAAGCAATTACTCGTGCGTACGAGAGGAGATAGATCATGTATACATGAGTGTTGAAAGACAACGACGGAGATATCTATGGGTTTGTCGTCATCAACAGTGACGAGGAAGCTTGGTTCGGAGCTTTTGTTGGATGGAGCCGTTGCTGTAGACACCAAGGACACTTCGACACATTGTTCCTCAACTATTTTAAAGGAGGTATAGACGACGCAAATTGAAGAATAGGGCTATGGCCTCGAACTCTAACGAAATAGGTTTCTTAGATCTCTGATACCATTTAGAATTGTGGAAAGAATTTATTTCTCGTTCACCCAAATGTATTTTAGTTTACTATAATAATAATAATAATAATAATCATCATCATCATCATCATCATCATCATCATAATAGATGATGATGGTGGTGGTGTTTGTGATGATGATGATGAATCCGATCGAAATGTTTGATAAAAAGTTTGGTATTTTGGATTACTCTATGTTTAAATTTAAACCAAATTTAGATTTTAAATCACTTTTCTAAAATCCTACAAATAGGAGAGGATTATGGAACCAAGTATAAGCATTGGAGCAAATTGCGCAATATTTGAATTTCTACTAGTTTCTATTAGATGCAAGCGGCTTGGAAGGAAATCAGAGAGTGAAGGAGAGAGGTTTAAATCAAAGAAAAAGAAAAGAAGAGACGAATAAAGGATCTTATTTATGATTGCAACTATCTTGACATAATGGAAGTATGATTGTGCTAGAAATAGAATAAATAAACATGTATAAATATATCCTCTTGAGGTGCTTTTAAATGGGCATCTTTTTTGGTGTATGACAAATCCTTTTTGATTATTGTTTTTTTGTTCTCTTTATTTTCTTCAAAAATTTGAGGGTTTTTTTTGTTTGTAGTAAGATTAGGTTTATCGTGTGTTCGTGTCCCTTTATTTATAAATTTATCTGATTTCTTTATAATCGATTCGATTCTCGCATTTCCCTTGGATTTAGGCTTGTTTTTGCCGATTCATGTAAATTTTGGGATCAAATTGTGATGCTTTATCTTTGTTAGTAGTTCTTGTTGTTTTATTCGGTCCTATTAAGCGCTTCTGCACCAAAGGAAAAAAAAGGAAAAACAATCTTTTTCTGTGAAATCACAGTAGAGCCATTGCACTTAGAAGATGTTTACGGTTCTGATATCCTTGTCAAAGGTAATGCATAGGATAGGTTTTCCATTCCCAAATTTATGTTAAAGGATGCGAAGTGGAAAAAGAAGAATATACGTACAGGAAAAGTGTATTCAACGTGAAATCTTTGCATCTAATTATAGTCTGAGGCTTTTTGACTGTTGCTGCTGCAGGCACAAAATCATTTAGACAAATCATTGTTGAAGATTAACCATGGACTTGCACCACATTACATGATAAGATACTAGTAACATGCTACATGAAAATTATCTCGCATCTCTTGATAACATATTCATCATTTGTTAAGGGGGAGAATGCCTATATATGCTCATCACACCAATAATTGTGCCTAATCTGAAAAAAAAAATTTTTTTTCTCACGTAGCATCTCGCAGTACTTTTTGTAAATTCTCATGTTTCATGATACAATAGCTTCATCTCGTCCAATATGCTGATGCAAGATCCGGGACAATTTTCATAATTTTTAAAATTAGAAAATGGTGTATCTGTAGGCCATGCTTTAAAATTGTTCAAGTTTTAGAAAAGAGTTTTAATGTAGAAGTGTCTGGAATTTAGCTTTTATTCTAGACAACATAAAAAGCACTTTTCTCCTTTGAATAGGATCTATTGGAGGACCCTGCTATTGTCCGTGCCATAGATGAAGAGACAGAATTCAATGCTTTAGTGGTATGCAGACTTTATTCTCATTACTGTTGCATTTGTAGTTGTTAAACACGGCACTTTTAACAGAGCTTTCCAAATTATCTTCTATACCTAGGGCTTTTTATGTTGAGAAAATTGAAGATTTTGCTGCTCTGTAGAGAATTTTTTGGTAAGGGGAGAAGTGGCCATCTTTCACATGTTTTACATCCGGTTCTCCTCTCATAAATTATGTTATCAGTGTTATTAGTTTGAGTTCATTGTTATGGGTCTTATGGGCTTAATTTCCATTTTCTTCAATTTAAAATTTATATATTGACTAGCCAAAATTCATTTGGAATGAACAACGGTTAGGATATTTAAATTGATATATGTGGGCAAATCTGAAGCTTTTATTCATATTGAACAATCAAATTCTTAAGATTGATGGATTTGAGAAATTTGTCATGTTTCAATTGGCCTTGTTGATATAAAGGTGAAGGGTTGAGCACAGGTTGTTTCCTATGAATATGCTTTATTTATCCTATTGTGAAAGCCTCGACTTTGGGTGTTTAAAAAAAACCTTACAAGCTATTTGAAACAGTTACTTTATGAGCAATGAATTTCCATGTTCTAAGAGGTTATTTGAAAGCTGAGAGTTTAGGATATTGTAACAACCATGTAGAAAAAAAGAAAAGGAAAAAAAAAAGTGCCTTGAATTGGCTAGTGGCTCCCACGTTTTTGTGCTGTTTCATAGTGTAGACAAAGATGAGGGGTCAGTTCACTATTTTAAGAAGGGATCCTCTGCAACGATTTGAAGCGACAAGACTAAGGAGATGATTCAGTTAATTCTTTTATGGGAAATCAATGAAACGCGTGTGAAAGAGGAGATGAGGTCGACGGAGGGGTCAAGTGAGTGTGAGAAGCACAGACGATGACATAGATTGGGAGTTGGCCTTGCTAGCTCGTCTGATGAAGCAAGAGGATTGGTAAGAATGATGATGCTGATGATGTTGTTTAATAAAGAGACAATCTTTGTCAATCATATAGGAAAGTTGTGACAAAATTTAAATAATAATAATAATGATATTACTAATAATAGATAAAGGGTTGTAATTTGCATCAGTCATAAGAATGTTGTGACAATTTCGAATATTCGAAAAATATTTTGGAAGATTTACATGCATGCCACTCAATTCTTATGTGTTTACATATCTAACTCTTAAATTTTTACATATATGTCACCTTGCCTATGCATGAAAAATGTGTATTTTGCTTTTTAAAAGCTAAAATAGTGGTATCTTTATTTGGATATGAAAGATTTTGGTGCTATAAATGTAAAGAGTAAAGTTTAGGTGTTAGATATGTAAATACTTAATAATTGGGTGGTATGTATGTTGATGCCCCAAATATCTAATTTTAAAAGTGGATGTTTTAGATTATTAAATAAAATTTTAATTAAGAAATATATATGTTTGGGCATACACTAGACAAATGTTTCAGGTGCCACACCAATTTGAGACCTAACCGTCTAGTGCACCTTGATTTAGCCACTGATTTGGCTAACCAAACTACCCAAGAACCATCCATTCCAACTACAGTTATGGTGGAAGATGCAACTAGGGATGATACAACTACTGCTCCAATTGAACTTGATGGGAACTCTTCTCTAATCAAGCCTACTGATATTTTTGATCTTTCACTTAGTATCACTGCTACCAATAATTTGGTTGTAGTAGATGATATTCCAATAGATATGGAACCACTTCTTGTAGAAGAAGAGAGTACTCAAGTACTGGAGGTGTGCCAAGATCAAAGTGTGCAACAGGCTGAAACTGCTCAACAATTTACAGATCAACATACCCACCAGGGTGAGTTCTCCATTGATGTTCAACTTATTGATCAGACGGGACATGCAATGGAAGATGAATTGAAGATTTATAATGCCAAGAAAAAGAAAAAGGGATGTTAGAACTCGGGAATTTACCGAATGACAGTTTGATAGTTTTGAGTGGAAGCCCATATAACGGTTTGTTGCTAGACTCCCTCTTTAGAACCAGGGGGAGATGAAAACCTACCCACCATGATTAACCTTCTCTTCTCAAACGAATGCATTCATATATATTTCTTTACCTGTATTTTTCTTTTTTAAAGATTATTTTTGGGGTTATGTAATATCCTAGGTGATTTTTATTTTGGGTTTTGTTAGAATCATTTGCCCACTTGTATATATATAAATTTTTTATTAAAGATATTGATTACTATATAAATATATTACTAAATTTTTTTTTTTTTGCTAGAAAGAGCTTTGGCTCCTTATGCATTTAATTGGAAAAAGAATTATGAAAAAAGGAAAAGTAGGAAAAGTACCTAACTAAAACCCACATACAACTCACACAAAAACAAAGAAAATCTAAAGGTCCTCTTCCCAAAAAAAATGCAAAATACAACACACACAACCAAAAAAACATAAAACAAAAAAGTATCAAAATAAAACTAAACCATAACACAAGAAAATACATATAATTACTAGTAGATAACTAAGTGGGATCCCCTCACTTGGGCGGAAATTGTAGCCTCAAGGCAAGGGCCTGCCGACCCTAGATTCATGCTGACTAACCCGGTTAGCTTGAACAAAACCAGTCGGCCTCTCCTTGGGAGAGTCAAGCACCGCGTTACCATGTGGTTTAAAGATGAAGGGAGATTTAACTCAAATACTTTTGCCCACATTACTGACATGAAATGTTTATAAAGCTTCACAACTTGTGTAATACAGACAATTTTTTGGAGTATTGATGCAGCAGTGTCAGGATAGGATCCTTCAATCCCATTCTTGGCCTGCAAGTTCTGAAGGATCACAAACGAGGCAATCACGATTCCGTTACAGGGCATTCAACCGCATCACCCAAATTTATCTATTTTAAATATATTTCATTTCTTTTTGATTTCTTTCCTATTTCCTAAAATTTTCTTATTTCTAAGTAGGATTTTTTGAATGAATGTTTATGTTATTTTTTGGGTTCAGACGTTTCTCATTTAGTTTGTGTTTTAGATATTGTTTTTCTGATTTCTATGCTAATGGAGTGTTGTATCCTTTTCCTATTGTAAGTGGTGTGTCTGTAGCTTTTGCAAGAATAAGTGGTGAACCTGCTCAACATCCATACCACATTGTTGTGACACTATTTTTTTTTGTTTTCAGTTGGGACAACCACTGAACTATATTTGTCCTCATCCAGTTTTGTCAAATTCTCATATTTCATTCCCTTGCTATTCTATGACCACCTCTCCAGCGAAGCCACTTACTAAACACCTGTAGGAGCTTTGGAACGTTATCATCTGGTATCTAAGCCTGACATATCCTAAATTCCTTTTTATGGATTTACCATTGCTACACCTTAACCAAGATTCCATGCAACATGACCTAACACCTTCACCTCAAATTTTTTTTCCCCTAAATCATTCATACAACAATTTCCAGCCTCAATCTTAAATTTTGAAAAATTCAACATTTCTCTTTCACTACAAATCCACCTAGACATCTATCCACCAAAACCAAAAGCCACTGACAAACCTTGAAATTCTGATCGAGAGAATAAAATAATGTCACCTAGGACAAACCCACAAAGAGGTGCTTGCCAAGGACAGACCCTCAACGAGGTGTCTGAGAATTTGCTACAGAGTATATGTAGCTAGAAATTGTCCAAATATAATAGAGGCTTACCGTCTTCGGGAGGAGACAATCTAGTGAGATCACTTTTAGAAACAAAAGTGACTTGCCAGAGAGGAAGAAGTGAATCTCTTCACCATGTAGTTTGTAGTGATGAATCAATACCCCAAAGTTAAGATTTTTATTTTGGAGTGAAGATTGATTTGTCAAATTTTTATTGTCACATGGATCCAAATGAATTCATTGAGTGGATTCAAGCTGTGGAAGGAGTCTTTGAATACAAGGTTATTTTATCAGTCAGAATGGTAAAGTTAGTCACCATTAAGTTAAACAAAAGTGATTTTTTATGGTGAGAAAATTTGAAGCGCCCATGTTATCGTGAAGGGAAAAGTTAAATCACTAGCTGGTCAAAAGATGAAAAGGGAGATGCGACGTAAGCACCTACCAACTCATTACATACATAATATGTTCTTGAGACTTTACTAGTTATTGCAGAAAAAGTCTCAGTAGAGCACAATCCAATTTGAGCAGCTTCTATTTAAGTGCGAGCTAGTGGGGCTCGAGGAGAATACCATTAAAACCGTTCGTTATTAACATGGTCTAATTACAACCCTTGTGGATGTTATAGGACGTTCAAACCATAGCTTGGAAGGCAGAGAGATGACACCACAACATTAGGTCCGCACCACGCTCTAAACACAGTTCAACTCTAGGATTAAACCACAAGAGTACACATAGTGTAGCATCCCAACCCACCTTACTAGAGAAAAAATCAGTTTAAAGTAGAGACAAGGTGGAGTCCTCTTGCACTTTTAACTATGTCATAATCAGGATTAATTTTAAGTCCCATTGTTTTGGGCCACTGCATTTGAATGCCCGAACAAAAGAGCGATATCTTTCACTGTGTAGGGTGCAGTGGAGGAGAGAGGGTGCAGACCCAAATAAGGAGAATGGGGTGGAGTACGAGTTATTCACAGGTGAGGGAGAGATTCTTGTAATCGAACTGGTCGCTCTGGACGAGCTCGTGAGAGAGAAACAATGGCCTACCACAACATATTTCATACTTTTGCACCATGAGGGGCAAATTGTGCATCCTTATTAAATATGGACGCAGTTGTGAAAATGTGCCATCGATATAGCTGTTGGACAAATTGACCATCAACGTTAATAAGCATTCTCAGTCATATTCCCTGACCTGGTTGAAGAAGAGTAAGATTGGTGTTGACTTGAGATACCTTGTGGAGTTTTCTATTGGAGACAACTTGTACGATCATGTTTGATGTGATGTTGTAACTATGGATGTGTGTCATGTTATTTTAGGTCGACCGTGACAATACGACAGGTTACATTGAAGACGAAATAATCACCACCAATTCGTTAG